AAAAAAAAATTGACAGATCTGCATCAACTGACAATTTAAAGATTCAATTGGACAAAACTATAATAAGAATTCTTGCAATGGCTGAACAGGTGTGAATTTTTCCTTGAAAGAATGTAATTCAAAAATGGAAAATCTCAAGATTTTGGCTTTGTGCCCCCCCCCCCCCCCAACTCAAAGTTTTTAGAGACTTTGACCTGTTGACTTTTTTCATTAAAACAAAATATATTATATATTTCTTCTATTACATATTCACAAAGTGTGATATTACAACTGAAAATTCCCAAATTTAAGCTAAAAATAGCCTTTTGGCTTGCATAACCGTGATAATGTTACTCCTCTCGAACACTTACCAGGTTGCAGTGCTTTACCACCGTTTATATGCAAGTATTTCCGGAACGCTCGGCGCATTGTTTTGCAGTTGAGTTGCAATCATAAGCAATTTTTTGGATGCAAATGATACGATCCCTTACCTGTAACTGTTAATAATTTTCTGTGAAGTTTTCAGACGATAGATTCTGCTTCTTTTTCAGTGAGTTTTTGCACTAGAGGCTGGAGCTGCAATTTGATACCCATTTCCGGCCTAATCTTGTTGGACATGTCAAGCCATATTTATTCGGGATTGGCATAGTTGAAAGAAAATTGAGAGTCGAGTAAATTTCTAAAATAAATATTCTTGAAAATAAATAATCTGTTCTATGCTTTGTCTGTTTTTATTCAACAGTAATTATTAAGTTTGCTTGTTTAACTTAATTCTTAGGAAGAAAGAAATAAGATTCAATCATCCTTTGATTTTGAATATATTTATTAGCAATTCTGTCTTGCAAGCATCCATACAAATACAGATCTCTATAGAAACAGTTTTAATCCGTGAGGGTGCTTTATTTACTCTATCTCATAACAGATAAGTACATATTATACATATATATTTATCATTTGGTCAACAGTATAAAATGAACAAATATTAACTGATTGAAATACTCCATATATGTAGTTCCTACAGTTATGTAGTTCTTTATGGCAAAACAAAACCACCAAATTTACTGATCTTGATTGTTTTTGTTTTGGGAAGTCGATGAGAGGAGAAATATAGATATCGGAATCTCTGTAGGAATCACCTTATTTTAAGCATAAATATCGCTGTTTTGAGTTTACGAAAAGAATTCACATGGTATAGTGTTATGAATTATCGATGTTTAGCGATTCCATACAGCACATTCATTTCGTAACTCCGACATTTGCTTAATTATAATCTGTAAGTTAAATGTAAAACAATGCACGTCAGGGGCGTAGCAACAGGGGGACCAGGGAGGGGGGGCACTTTTTTTCCCAACCTAACTTGTACTATAGGATATGTTAATAGAAAGCCTGGTTGCCCCCCCCCCCACTTTTAGTGATGTACTGTAAATGTAGTATTAGAATTGGTACTAAATGTAGATGACACCGAGAAAAAGTAGTTTACCCCCCCCCCTCCCCCACGAAATAGGATTTTCGACTTTGGGCAACTTTTGCTTTTTTTTTCCCCTTGTCAACTTTTTCAGGTAAGTAAAAAAGCAGTAAAAAAAAAAATTAACTCTGGCTGCCCCCCCCCCCCCCCACTTTCAAAAATGATGCTACGCGCCTGCACGTATTTTGACTGCAGTCGACCGTATGCTGTGGAATTGTAGTCCTCTCCAGAAAATATTAGATAAAAAATCGGAGAGGGCTACAATATTGCAGAAAGGGGAGAACTAGAGAGAAATGCTCAAGATAGAAGTGGAGAAGAAAGTCTAGTTCTTGCCCTATATGCCCATGGGGACAACAAGGATTAGGTAGGTAGATGAGTAAAAACTTTGGTACTCAAAGAAGTTGAAAACTACCACACCCCTCTTAAAAAAATAGGATTTTCAAGTTTAGAAAATTGTGGGTTTTTTCTTTCTTTCCTTCCCTTTTTGTTAATTTTTTACAGGTAAGTTGATTTTTTTCTAGGGCTGCCTGGCCTGCTCCCTTTCAAAAAAGATCAAACTAGTTTTACATAAGAGATGAACATTGTTCTATGGGTTAAGTTTTCATCAAAGGTCAACATGTCCAAAAATTATTTTAACAATTATAGCTCCAATACAGGTAGGGGCCCGCGGGGGTTCACAGGCAGTGACAGCATATTTTAATTCAGATACTTTCAACAAGAAAAATATTTCTGCTATGCCAAAGTTATTTTTCAAAGGTGATAGACTTGAGCGTGTTCCAGTCCATCGCCATTTGGGTTTGCTATTGTCGCAAAATCTTAGTTGGTCTGAATATATTGATGGAGTTGTAAATAGTGCCAATAAAAAACTAGGCCTTCTGAAGAAGTTAAAGTTCAAAATGGGTAGAAAAAACTTAACAATATATAAATGGTGCCTGTTTTGGAGGGTAACATTTGAAATTGACACCCCAAGGAAAACCATTGTCAACCGACGCGTCAGCGGAGGTTGACAATGGTTTTCCTTGGGGTGTCAATTTCAAATGTTACCCTCCAAAACAGGCACCATTTATTTTATTATACTGAATGTCTTATTGATTTAGGACGTCAGCAAAAAAAAAAAAAACGTCGATCGTCTTTACGTTCATGTATAGAAAGCTTTCACACTCACCGGTTCACAAATCTCCTTATTGTTTGTTTGATACTCAAATTAGAGTCATTTATCATATAAAGTTTCGTTATTTCTGGCTCGCAGGCATGTATCCTACACTCGCAAGCATGTATCGTCTGTCGTTTGTTGTTTTCTAGTAAGCTACATCGGAAGCAAGCTTTTATTGACGTCAAGTTAATTCCGGTTCTTTCAAACGCGCAACTGACGTTTTGAGAATTCTACGGTGAACCGTACGCGCATAATTTCCACGCATGTGGCATTACCGTTGTGTTACCCGTTGTCACGAGTGTTGCTAAGGCCCAGGGTAATCGAACGGATTGTTAACTGCGTCTTAGCCAATCAGATTTTAGTATTTAACATGAAAGTATAATAAAACTGTATATTACATTCATCAGACCTATGCTTGAATACGCTTCGATCGTTTGGGATGGCTGCTCGAAATATGATGCAGAAAAACTTGAAAAAGTACAATTAACCGCCGCTAGAATCGTAACCGGACTTCCTATATTTGTGTCTAGAGATGCACTTTATTCTGAAACTGGTTGGGAAACTTTAAAACACAGACGATATATTGCTAAAATGACTACTTTGTACAAAATTCATACGGGACGAGCACCGGAATATTTGAAAGATATTGTCCCCAATAAGCGTGAACATGTATCTACCTATAATACCCGTAACAAACAAGATTTTATTGTTCCTAGGTGTAGATTAGAACTATTTAGAAACTCATTCGTACCTGACGCTACAAAACAATGGAATTTATTAAAAACAGATACGAGAGAAGCCGTTTCAGTCAAAACATTTAGAAAAAACTTGACAACAAAAATTGATACTCCACCACCATACTTTTCTTTTGGCAAACGATACACAAATATCATTCATGACATTACTGTATACTAAACCATGATCTATATAAACGAAATATTGTAAGTAGTCCATTATGTATATGTGGAAAAAATGAAGATGTGTATCATTATTTTTTTGCATGCACAAATTATTCCAAATTATTCCAATGCTAGAAGTACTCTTTTTAATCATTTGTTCATGCTTGATTTGGTTTCTATTGATATTAATGTATTATTGTGTGGTGCTGTTAATTTGCCTTTACAGATAAATAACAGTATTTTTGCTGCTGTTCATGAATTTATTGACGAAACATATAGATTCTCCAAATGATGTATTACATTATATTGTATCTATTTATTCATGTATCGATTGTATTATTTTTTTTCTTTTTGCATGACATATTGTATTATATAAGGAGAGGAATTCACTAAAGTTATTTAGAACTTGTTTCCAATCCTTTTGATTGATATCAATAAACTACGTTCAAAACAAGATACTTTCTATCTGTTAATCAATGATAGATTTATAAGCTGAAAAAGTTTCAACTTTATAAACCGCATAGTTTTGGAGCTTCTGTAAGAATAAAATTTTGCCATGTTGATCTTTGATATGAAACTTGAAACATTGTCGGTGAATCGTCTTACATTAAGACCGCGGAACATTAACTGGCAAAATTGGAAATATACAGCTTACGTCATTTCTATCTGTTACAATCAAAACATTCAGTGATAGACAATGCAATGGGCGGGTACAATTCGACGCGGACGTGGGGAAAACATCGGATTGAAATTGCAGATCGAAATTCATTTTTCAATCCACCTCAGCTACGCTAGAAGGCACATTATTACTGATTGACCAAGAAGACAAATAATTTCAATTTTGGCACAGTTTGAATTTTTTTTTGTCCAGTGTTTTAAATAAATTAATATTTAAGGGAGAAATATTTCATTTCTGTTTGGTAAACATATGTAAATGTTTGTGTTTGGGGGGCGGGCTGAACGATTTTTAAATCAAGTTGTGCAACAGTTTTCAGTGAGAATAAGTATAAAACTCATGCACTCCTATAATCCTAGAAATAAGATATATTGTCATGTTAAGCCATGACTTGACTCGACAATCCCCCCTTCTAGAATTAAATATCTCCTGAAAAATATTCTTTGTCTTCTATGATCTTTCGCGTTCTTAAAATTATAAGCTAAACTCATATTAATGTAAACTTCAAACAATATGTATTTGGGAGTTAAAATTAGTTGATTTTTGGATCATACATTCACTCTTTGCTTTGAAAACAGCTCAGGTGGATTGAAAATGAATTTCGATCTGCAATTTCAATCAATTTTCCCCACGTCCGCGTCGAATTGTACCCGCCCATTGCATTGTCTATCACTGAATGTTTAGATTGTAGCAGATAGAAATGACGTAAGCTGTATATTTCCAATTTTGCCAGTTAATGTTCCGCGGTCTTAGCTAGCCGCATACATATATGACTTGTTTGCACTCGAAGAGTGTGGTATTTAAATAAACCAAACAGAGTTAGATAGCCGTTTTAGACGATCGCCATTATTCTACAGAAGGTAAGAAGAATTCCAGTTTCATATTGATCATTACCAATATCCCCCAAACACATCAATGTTGAGGATTTGTTTTTCTCCATGCAGCTAGCATGAGATTTCGAATGAGTATGCTAGAAATCTCACGAAGATGAATAATTCACTCACTGATAGTGGTATAAATTATAGTATAGAGGGGTAGACCTATATATATACTTATATTTCGTCATTTACAGAATTACATGGGGAGCGCCTATGGTATAAATTGGTCCAACAAATATATTCTGTTTGTGTCACGATTGATCTTTTAAAATCAATAAGCACGGAAAGTGTGTTTAAAATATGTGTTACTTGAAAAACTATTTTCAGGTAATGGATATTTTTGCTCAGATATCTACTTATTACATACTAGAATGAATTCAAACAAATCACTATTAAATTTGATAAAAATGCACAACAGACTAATATTACATGTAGAGACAGACAACGATCAACGTAACAGATACTTGAATTTGATGACTGTACAAGTCTTAAGTCTGAATATGTAGCATGGTGCAGTAGCTTAAAGCTTTATTTTACTCAGTACATGTAGGGATGAGTGATTCAAGTGACAATGAGTCGTGGGAGTACAGTGTGGCAGAAGAAGACGTGGAGTGTGACGTATGTAAGGTAGAAGACGTGGAAATGCAGTGTGAGACCTGCCTCGTTAACATGTGTAAGAAATGTGTCCAGAAACATCTCGAGTCAAAGGAGGACGAAAAACACAGCATCTCCAGATTTCCCGGCTTCCTCCACCAATACCCAGCATGCGCCTCTCACGACAACAGGAGGTGTGAGCTGTATTGTAAAGACTGTGACGATCCTATCTGCGTCACGTGTATTACGTCAGAGAAACACCGCGGTCATGATTTACAAGACGTCCTGGAAACGTTTCTGGAAAGAGAAAAATCATTTTAAAGAGAAAGCTCTTTCGTTTGAAAGGTTTTATACCAATTACAACTTTAGTAAAGTGCAAACTAGAGACTATATTTTTATGTATATTGTTGAAGTATTAAAGCTTTGTAGATGCTATGATGTGCTTTCCACAGATATGCAATACCCAATTTTAGTCAAAGTAACATATTTTTTGCGCAAGAATTGAAGTAACAGTTTATCATTGAGTCAAATGCTGACTGACATTTTTCATACTTATTGTTAGTCCATGTTTATACATTGAATTGAAGACGTATTTTCCCGTTATTTCTCGATCATGACAAGGAGCACACAGCGGATGTGGCCGGTCAGCAGGGGATGCTCACTCCTCCATGGCACCTGATCCCACTTCTGATGTTTTGGAAGTCAGTGTTTGCTCTGCTTCTATTTTGCATCGTTTTATAGACTTTTGATCTTGAATACTGTTGTTTATATTCTTGCGTTTCATCTAATGAATTATGTTGTTAACAATAAATCTGTAGTATTAATAAAAGAATATTTACATTCAGTGTAATTTTCTTTATGAAATCCATTAGAAATCCACGACGTTCAAATCTCTATAACACACGCGAAACCTTGTCACCGCGCATTAGAATACACAGTGGGAACTATATGCATTTTTAATACTCTAGGAACACCAAAGTGTACACTGTTTTGAAACAATTTAATGAAAAAAATAAACCCTGTTAAATTTACGTAAAAATATAACAAGTGTTCGTTTAAAATTAATGTGTTACTTTTTTCCTCGCAATGATCGTTAGCGTTATTTAACTTTGCGACGGCTCTTACGTCTATAAAGCACACCAGTTTTGAAGGGCGCTAAATTCACATTAAAGATTACCGAAATAAACAATTATGAAGAGGAAAAATTAGAGAATGTAAATTTAAGCATTGAATATTCATATTTTGGGATGTCTTCGGTCCTATAACACACCTGGCCGTGCGGACAAATCATCATACCGCGCTAACGCGCGGTATTCAATTTGTCGGCACGGCCAGGTGTGTTATAGGACCGAAGACATCCCAAAATATGAATTCAATGCTTAATTAAACGTTCTGAAAAAGGGACCTATCATCGTTTTTGAAAGGGGAGAGGGGCACCCAAAGAAAAAAATTCAACTTACATACAAAAAAAAAAAACTTGACAAGCAAACAAAAAAGCGCTCAGCGGATTCCACACTATGTTTTCATACACTACTGCATTCAATTCCCCTTGACTTTAATTCACGAAAAAAGTGGGTAGGGGGCTACTTAAGGTATCCGATCCATAATGATCTCGAGGTTCTTTTGGGCTGACGCCCAATATCTGGCCCAACAGAATCTCAATAGAGATTAGATTCACAATAGCCTCAGATTCAATGTATATCTGAATGCAAAAGAGATATATTATTGTATTTTCTAAATACTCCTTATTTATAGACTTTATCTTCATATGTTTTAGTTTTAATATATAATAACAGCGGAACGTGTCCAAATTTTTTACCTTGACCCATCCTTAAAGAATTATCCCCCTTCACTTTTAATTTTAAGAATTCATTTAAAAAAACTCTCCGGTGAAAAATTATTTTTAATCGTTTTTCTATTCTTAATAATTATATACAGCTTTTCACTATAGCATATTTATAGTATTTGATTTTTTATTTTTAAAAAAAATTGCTTGTTCCCATAGACCTCAATGCATTCTTAATTAATTAAGTACTGCTCGGTTAATCATATATTTTATATATCATATTTTTTTTTAATTTTGGGTAAATTCTTTTCTACTCCAAACTGCTTTGAATTAGTTTCAGAGAATTTAATACAGGGTGGATATTTAAGGGTAGAAAATCATGTTCTTTTATGGATCGAATACCTTAACTGGCGTATCGAAATATGATGACACGAATTCATCATAATTATATATATACATGTAAAACTGCGGCTATCGGTGGCCCTTTTTTCACAAAAAACTCTTACGACCAAGACTAATATTTCCACACTCTTTAATATTTAGGATATTTTTTCCAAATAATTTTAAAAATTCAATTTAATTACAAAAATACTGTGTATTAATAATTATAATGAATTAATGTAATTTAGACAAGATTTTCGTAGCCTAGATCTTTGTTGTAGCAAGGGGGAATTTAATGATATAAGTCGTAAGATTCTTTGTAAAAAGGGACCAGAATAATATAATTTGTATAGGCAACCTAAACTGTGTCAGTAAAATTCATTCATATTAGCTGGCGTTTTAGTATTGATTATAAATGACAAGTTTGTTCTTGAAGAGTGTGGTATTTAAACCAAACAGAGTTCGGTAAACGTTTTAGACAATCGCCATTTTTCCACAGAAGGTAGGTAGAATTCTAGGTTTTAATATTGATCTTTACCAATAACTCCTAAATCCACATCAATCTTTAAGATTTGTCTCCATGCAGCTAGTTAACAAAATATCAAATAAATACTCCAAAAATTTCATGTAGATGAACACATTTGATCATTGGAAATTAAAAAAAATTGTTTGATCAAACAAAATGTGTACAGTTCAGAGTCAATAATCAGAGGAAATGTGTGTTACACAAACATACGTAATATTTTCAGGCAATGAGCGGTAGTATAATTATCTAGTACACAATTATCTTTTATATTTAAAATAACAAGTCATTATTGAACGTACACAACAATATAAACAGACAGCGGCCAATTCATGTAGGAAAATAACGATAACCTGATGACTGTAATTCTTGAGCTTGGATGTTTAACATGTTACGGTATCTTTATACAGTGGGTGACGGTGATAGAGATGAGTGACTCCAGTGACGACGAGGAATGGCAGCTCAGTGTGGCGTCAGAAGACGTGGAGTGTGACGTATGTGAGTATGAGGACGTGGCCATGCAGTGTGAGACCTGCCTCGTCAACCTATGTAGGGGATGTGTTCAGAAACACCTCGAGTCAAAGGTAGACGAGAAACACAGCATCTCCAGATTTCCCGGCTTCATCCACCAATACCCAGCATGCTCCTCTCATGATAACAAACGATGTGAACTGTATTGTAAAGATTGTGACGATCCCATTTGCATCACGTGTATTACGTCAGAAAAACACCGTGGACATGATTTACAAGACGTCTTGAAAACGTTTCGAGACAGACGAAGATCCTTTTAAAGTGATAGTTCTTCATTTGAAAAGGGCATATCAATGACAGCTTTTGTAAAATGCATACTAGTATATCAGCTACCAGTGTATCGAAGACAATTTTTTTTACGATTTGTACATTGTTGAGTTTAAAAGTTTTGTAGATTGTGCTGTCCAGAAATGAGCACAAAGAATAAAATTGTAACCATGGTGACTCAATTTTGTGCAAGAATTGAGAAACCTAATAAATGTGGATCTAAATCGTAAATCTGTAATGATAAAATGTAAGGATGAACATTCTAAAACTGTTACTTTTCTGGTGTTTGAACTGTTACTCTAATTGATAAGCTACGGAACTTCTTTCCAAATATATAAGGATACATGTATTGATCCTCTTGAAATGTGGTTATTTAAGAAACAAGATATCATTTTTAGAGTTTCATTGGGATATGACATGAGGTCGGTCACGTGATCAAATTTTATAACCCCTTCGGTGGGATGAAATTATCTCCCTCCTTTATTTAAAAGAAAAACAATATAAAAGTGTAAGTATTTCGAATGAAGTTTGTTTTCATTTGTTTGTTCAGAACGTATCACACTTGATTTAACATAGAACAAGTACAATTAACAAAGTTTGATGATAACTTCAATACAATTATACATACAAGTTTATTCAAGTCATGGACCTATTCCAATGAATATTCATGTGATGGAAAATGAAATGAGTTTTGGGTAGGTGTAAACTTGAACAGCTGCATCATATGTTAAAAAAGTAAAAAATAAATTAATTTTAAAAAATTGCTTCAGTTTTCTTTGTCTATGAATTACTACTACAATTTAGTATAAATCTCTAAGTGTATTGTTTGTGCTGTTGTATAAAGTTGTCACCCGAAAAGACCTTTAATATTATTTTGTTCAATAAACTTCTCGAAATAACAAAAAGTCTGCTGCGACGGTTGTTAAACTGCTCTGACCAAATATCAGGTCTTACATTCAATTAAATAAACATGATTCAATACTGAATTCGTTCGTTAAACCGGAACGAAAATTTAAAATCAATGTTTGCAAATCAGCTCAAAAATTGACATTTAAAAAGACCATTATGAATGGAAGGTAGAAAAATAGTATTTAAGGGATTAAAAGGAGAGCTAGTACACGGAAGCTAAAAAAATTCTACCCCATCCATTTAGTTGAAAGACAATGTAAGCCAGAAATATGTGTTCCGACCTTCTTCTTCCGATTTTCTGTCTAATACTGGTTTTCAATCAGGTATTCTCGGATTGTGATAAAACTAAAGGACCGACAGGAAATACAGGATGTGTTTATTCCCCTAAATACTCCAAATTCCAGGCAGCTGTTTGCATGCTTAAGCAGAAGATCGAGCGCTCCACGGGTAGACATTTGACATGCTGGGGGTCTAGAACGAAATATTGCTGGTATCAATGTTCAGCAACAGCAAGCCATGGCGGTCTGTCTGCTTGTCAGTGTGATCAAAATTCTACAAGTGTGGACAACACTGATACGCTTGATATAAACTGTTATTTTCCATCTGGAGACTGCTCTTGGTTTTTTGAATGTTTGGCAAAGAGGAAGTCTTGTCCAGCAGTAACGGAGGCCGGTAATACATGCCAAGAACTGAAGAACAGTAGCAAGAACATCTCGGAAAACGGCAAGGCGTGGGTTAAAGGTGTCATAAAATGCATGCAAAATGATTTAGTTCATTTGCTCTATCCACAGGTTGAAGCCGATTGCGAAAAAGTGAACTCCACTGTAGAGTCGTCAACAAATTACTGCCTCACAGACCCTTTGGTGGACAATCTTTTCTGCGAGTTATCTTGGGATGACATCTTCCAAATAGACGGTTTTGTTGGAGGTGTCTTCACCGGACTTAAAAGATGCTTAATGACAACGTATGTTCCTAGTTGGGCAAAGCAGCTCTTGTTTTATGTTGAAAACTATGATACAGATGACTGGGATACGGTGGCTGAGAAACTTGCCGAGACACTCTCCCAATCATTTCAATGGTCAGATTCCGGTGTGAAATATAAAACAGTAGGCCCAGCAATACTTCCATCAAACGGGGACTCGATTCCATTACGGATCTATCTGTACTCTGAATCAAAGAATGAAACACTGATTTTAGAAACAATAGACGATCTAAAGGAGAGAATTGTTCAGGGAAACGTAACCACGCTGACATTCAAAGAAGGAAAGACCGTAAAAGTTACCCATGTCATTGGCTGCAATGATCCACAGTGTCTCTCATACTCATTTTCTATGCAAACAGGTATCATTATGTTATATAATGTCTTAAATAGAGAATCAAGGAATG